GTTTCTGAAAAATTGTAATTATTTAACTTAATTACCAATTCCTAATATTTGTTATTGCTTTTCCTTGATTTATTTCTTTTCATCAGAAATTGCGCTCAAATTAAATGCAAATACAGAAAACGTGCCCAATAAATAAAAAAAATGCGATTAGTATTGCCATAATGCAACCCTGCTGTGAGGTTGCAAAATGTAGACGCGTAAAAAACATACCTTTGAGTGTGACAAAATGTAGACGGCGTCGTTTTCCAATTTTGTATGGGAAACAACAACACCACAGATTTTACGGTTAGAAAACGTCTTAAAATGTAGACGTCTACATTTTGAGACACTATTTGGAACGAACTGTGAACACCCCATATATAACGGTATTTAACCGATTACAGACGGTCTGAAAATACTAGTGTAATTTCGCAAATTGGTCTGGGCAAACCGTCTGAAAAGTCTAGTGTGTTAAGGGTCATTCGATTACTAAAAATTTTGTGCTGTTTTTCAACACTTCCTCCAATTTCTTGCATCTGGCAATGCAATTTTGTTATCAAATCTTGAACAGATGTTTCTTTAACAGCTTTAAACTACAGTACATACAAATGGCAGTGCAAATACATTTTAGAATTATTTTACCACAATAAAGCAACAATTTAATTAATAATAATGCATATACAACAGCTGCGCAAGTGTACAAAAACCATTCTGCTTTGCCTCAATGCCACTAAGTCCGGGCAACTATGCCAAATAAGCAACGCCAAGTGCCTTCGAAGATCGTTGGAACCCGTGTTGGACCAAAACAAAAGTGTCTCAGTGGGTAAGTAGTAATAACCCGAAAAACAGTACGAAGTCAGTAAAAAAATAAGAACTTTATTTCGATCTCATAATTACGCAGATACTGCTAAGCACTTCGAATTCCATGGCCACTGGCCGGCTGACGAACAGCATCGTTTTCTCAAAGACATGCGACTGCATACAAATTTTGTAAGTGTCGAAGAGGAAGCCAAATTGCTAGAAGAAATTGAGCCCTACATGAAGAGAAGACCTTATGAGTACGATCATTGGGATGATGTAATGGCAGTGACTTTCAAAATAATTTGATTACTACACTTTGCCCATTCCAACAGGCTATACATGGCTTCCGCGAGACAGAGCGCAAGCATTGGTATCCACACAACCGCCTGGTACTCGAACGCCTACAACAAATAGCGTTTATTGATGAGATCAAACCGCATGTGCATATATTGGACCTGGCGGCAGAGGGCGTTATTAAGCCGCATGTGGATAGCACGAGGGTATGCGAGCGCTCTACGTATGTAAACAATTTTATTATATTTGCAATCATCAATTTCATTTCAGTACTGCGGCAATACAATAGCAGGCATAAGTTTGTTAAGTGACTGCGTTATGCGGCTGGTGCGCGTTGACGAGCGTAAATATCAACAGGGGAAAGCCGTGGAGCCTCCTACAGAAGCGCTAAAAAATAGCAGTAGTGACAGTAAAGCCGACATTGCTGCCACATCAAACGTATCTCCTGAAGAAGACGATGCCTATCGTGATCGACCAGAAACCACATTGGAAAATAATTTCTACGTGGATGTGCTGCTACGTCGACGTTCGCTATACATAATGAGGTGAGTATGTGGGCTTATAAGTGAAAAATGATTGATTTGATTTATGTAAGTGAAGAGCATTTTGATATTCGTTTTCTGATTTTTCTCTCCCACAGTAATTCCTCACGCTACAATTTCACGCATGAAATACTCGCCAACGATGTATCACACTTTCAAGGGCAGCATATCAAAAAGGATAGACGCATATCGATTATTTGTCGAAATGATCCATGAAAGTGAGATGCTGTTGCGTGTCTATGTAACTACTTCGGGAGAAGTTGTAAAGCACTCGCTGTTTGGAGCAAGGCCCTGCACTATAACTTTATTTATTTAGTTGGATTTTAGAGAGAATATAGAGCTTTATATTATTGTTAATGAATATAATTGCATATTTTAAGTAATTTAACATCGTTTTGTCAATTAATAAAATATATTGAATTAAATTAAAAAAAAATTAAGTTAAATATGCTATCGTATTCTGCAACTACGTTTAGTTATTTCGTCTATTTTACTTACTAAGCCCCGCTCGGGTCGATTCATCCGTCAACGTTGTCGTCTGTTTCAGCTAAGGGGAGGCCCATGAAGTGCGCGACTCAGACAGGGTCTGTCCAAAAGGACAGGGGCGTCAGCTGGGTGGGGTTCTCGGGCATGTGAAGAGGTGCTGAGAGCCATGTGGCGACTCTTCGCATGCTGGGCCTTGGTTAAGCACATCCTCATTAATTCTGCTCAGGTATGAGTTTAGCCGGCTGCTTTTTCGACTTAGGCGGTTATTGTTATGAGAAATTCAACTTTGAAAAATTGTCCACATGCAAAGGGAAAACTACAATTGGTATTTCTGTTAAATTTTTATTAATAATTCGCTCTTTATATTTTTCACCACTAATTTTCGCACTGAAAACTAAATAAATATGCAGTTTTTATTATTTATTTTTGTAATAATTTTTAGGTTACACTTGCACTCTGCCGTATTAAATTTTTAACTAATTCTATATGTATGCATGTACTTTCTCTTTATCTAGTGCACGCATTAGCAGTTTTTAGATACACCTGTAGTTTTTTTGTTTTCAAAATGCTTTTTACAAATTTCAACTGCCTTTTGTAACATTTCTTGTTTATTGGCTGATTAGTTGTTATTTTTTATAATGGCTTATCCTCAAATGTACGTAAATTAGTCAGTAGTTGTTTTTGTGTTCGCTTAATGGCCGAACATATTTAACAAATTTGTATTTTTTGTTGTATATTTTGCAAAGTTTGCTGTTGCAATATTGAACTTTTGCCAATTTGTTCATAGGTTTTTACACCTCTCAAGTACGACTGACTTTCACATGCAATTGGACTACAGTGGGCCCTCGATAACTCGCTACTAAAATTAGCCAATACGTTTTAAATACATAAGCATATAATTTTAAGCACTAAAAATTAAAACTGGAGTTATCGCGTGCCGACTGTGGTTTGGCTGTATTTTTCATTATATTTCATCAATTCATAGTAATTGGCAACATGTAAAATTGTTGTTGTTGCGTCTTAAATGCATTTTAAAAATACTTATCAGTGTATTTGGTTATATTTGGGATTCAATTCTTTGTATTGTTGTTGTCAATTTATTGTTTTTGCATGTTTTACTTTTGTAACAGCTATGGCAATATACTATACTATTTTTTTTGGTAACTTTTGCAACGCAATTCTTAAAAGTTTTTTATGCTAAGTCTGCAACGTACTTTAATTGTTAATTTTTGGGCTATTTTTTATTCAGTTTCTTTTTTGCAAATTTTGCATGCAAGTTTCACTTATCGAATTATTGCTGCTGCAAATGGTTCCGCATTTTTCGTAGCTTCAGGAGCAATTTAGCAATTTTTTATACAAATATTTTCAAACTAAATTTCAAATTATTACTTGTATTCTCAATTATGTGTATACATATATATGTATGTATGAATATGTTTCTAATAATTTTATCTTTCTAAATTTTAAATCTATTGCTTCTAAAACAGTTAGCTTTGGTTTTAATACATATCTATGCAGCTTGTTTAAATATGGCTTAAAACGCTTTTAAATTCCAATTTTCTTGCTACTATTTTTTACTTTTTCACTTATTAAAATTACAACTTAATAAAAAGAATTAATCCGGAAATTTAATTCATTTATAAAGAATTTTTCAAAATTGTTTACTATTACTAGTAAAAATTTAAATTTTTACTAATTTATGTACATAAGTATTTAATTTAAATTAAAGCCAAATTTATTCAAAACGTCAATTGCTTGATATAAATAATTTCAATAAAATCAAAAAAAACTTACATTTAAAAAATTATTATTTTTTTAAGTTGAATGTTTTGATAAAAAATTAAAATTTTTACTACCACCTCTTTATTTAGGATTACAAAAAGGTGCTTTTTAATATGAAAAAAAATTCATTAAAACTAAAAAAAAAATGTTTAAAAAATTTAAATTTTTGTATATAAAAATAAAATAAAAATTAACAAAAATAAAAAAAGAAGAGAACAATTTTCGCGAAAAAAATCTAAAATCACATTTGCATACAAATATATAGGGGAGATATTTTTTTTCCTCATCCTCGTATCCCATGAGCAGAAAGCGCTTGCTGGTAAGGTAAGGTGCGGCAAGCAGTTATCGGTAGTGTTCAAAGATAATACTTTCAAGCCGCTGAAAATTAAACAAGGTGTTCCACTGCTTTCACTTTAAATTCCCCCAGTTGCCACAGGGAGCCTCAATAGTCTCAAACGCTGATGACGCTGATGACTGGCAACGGGAAAAAAACTTGGGAAGCACTGAGAATTTATTTACGGTTACCCCAACTCCACTTATTCGTCAGAGCACGTAACTTGTTCACAACATGATAAAAGAAAGGTCCTCAGGCGAAGGTAAAATAATTTAAACAGCTCACTAGCCCTTACCGTCTATGTATTACCGCCGAAGTAATGGGGCCGCAAAGGAAACGCTAATAATCCGGGCTCAACTTCTTCCAGGCTGCAGCATTAGACTAAACTCCTACGGTAACGATCCACACAAAACCAAGTACCACTTCACATAGCCCACCCACGCACCCAATCCATCTGATACTTGAGATGCTCTGAACCCAACCGAGGGAGGCCGCATGGTTCTTAGTACTCGTGCTGAAGGAAACAGTCGGGAAGAACTTTCTAAAGGTAGTTTGTGGTATGAATGCTCCTAAAGCAAAAAAAGAACTACAACCATTCACCTGGGAGCTTTCATATAAACTTAAAAGGCACGCGTCTCCCATCACAATTGACCAAATTGTACCCTCGCTTGAGACAAGGATCTCCCTAGACCTGTTTGTCTGCTCAATAAATGCTGAAGGAGTTTTAAGCCAAGGTCGGAAAAACAGTAAAGTAAACACGACTCATACGAATTAGAGTCGACTTAACACTGCCTGGGTCACTGACAACTCCACTTCTACACAGTGATGTGATTGTTATTTAAAGCGGCAAACCTGAGATAAGGTAAAAGTTTGATAAGTAAGTACGAACAAGCGCTTTAGGATTGTGTTCCCTTCATGGTTTCTCGGAATATCTGAAGATCTATCTTATTGCTGCTATCCTGAGTAGTTCTCTGGAAATGATCAAAAGATTTTTACCTCTGCAGGATTTCTGGGAAACTCTTGTGTTCTTTCAAAATGCTGCGGAAGTTGGACATGAAAAGTATAAAATGACGTGACAGTCGCCGAAAAGGCGGCAAAAACCATACTGATCAAGCCATTAGTATCGTCAGACGAGGCAGTAGTAGTAGTGATGGAGTATTGGATGAAGTTTTGGGAAGACCTCTATAGTTAGAATACATCCAAAAAGTAGCAAGGGACCAAGATCTTGGGACGTTAATAGACCCATAGAATAAAAGAAATTCAGCAAAACTTCAGAAATAATAAAACGTAGTGAATGTTCGAAAAATGTTCAAAAGATACCCGAGGAAAGGAAATATAAGAAAAGAAAAAAGTAAAACTGCAGCGCTTCAGTTTAAACCAAAATATAATCAACAAAGTAGTAGGAATTTCGACAGTTCTCTCCTTTGAACACCGACTATAATGCCAAATGTACAATAAAATATATCAAATTGTATTGGAAAATTTTTTATGTAGTTATGCTTTTTGACACCATAGTTTGAGTTAGCTATAAGGAGAGCCAATTTTGGTTGTCACTTCCGACTTGTTTAATATGCCTTTGTTCAGTCAAACAATTGGAAAGTATGCTACTGGCCTTAGATATATTAAAAATTTAAGGGTAGTGTATACACTGGCATTAATTGTTTCAACATTTCGCGATTTACTGAATTTAGCTTAACTTACATTTAAAATCTTGCATTAGAAATAAACACAAAAGAAAAAATAACAAATCTCAAACAATTAAATATTTCATTTGTGTTTATAACGCTACAAATTAAAAGCAACTGTTTTTTATTCAAGCTGCGTATAAGCATTTAAAATTAATCAAAGCTAAATTATGTTTTTGTTCTTTTACCGCCTCTTAGTGTTAGATAAATATTATTCCTTAATTTTTTAAACTTGACACGTTTTTATATATGCATTTCTTAACCCTTTCATTCCATACATGGGAGTATGCATATATTATAGTCGAATTTGAACTGTTCCAAAGTTTTTTGCAATAAATTTAAGTATTCTTATTCTTATAGAGCGTTACATACGAATACAATTATATCATTTAACTGCTATTTATTTTGCTAATTGGTTTTTTAATTTCTCTTTTTCTTTCAGTGTACCAAATTTCAGATCAAAGTAGATGAATGTGGGGGCGAGAAAAAGTCACTTAAGGTAATTGTTTGTTGAGTTTGAAAGTGTTTAGTTCTTTTTTCACAGTGTATATACGTGCAGTATAATAGAGTAATTTTCGATTTTGTTTTGAGTAGAAAGGCACAGAAGAAAGTATGTTTCTCTCATAGTTAATTGTATTTTTTTTTTTTTGTTTTGGCTTTTAGTTTTAATAATAATAGAGACAGCTCTACGCTCAACGCGAGTGTTCACAGCATAAAAGTGTAGGTGTTGAAAAAGACAGAAATGGAAAGAGTGTGCGGATGAGAGTGAGTAATTTAAGTAAGAAATGAGGCTATCTGTCATGAGTAGAGAAATAGATGAGGGTGAGCGAGTTAAATGCAGTTTCGATAGCAAGTAAAAAATTATGTAAAAATCTGAGTGATGCATAAGAATCAACAATTTTAGTTCTGACTCATACATTGAACAGATATTGACTAATGCAAAATATTTAGGAGTATCTCATTTCTGTAACGATTTGTTTATGAATCTTTAAAGAAAATTATATTGAGTGATTGACACGAAGTCGTAAAGAAATTTCTGTACGAATTCTGCAAGAAATTATTCACAAAGCAGCAATATTTTCAATGTTTTACAGATTTTCTTCCAAAATTTCGTAAAAGAATCGAAGTGTGCACAATTTATTTCATTTTAGTAAATTCGGCAAAAAATCGGATGAGATGCTTACGAATTCTTAAAAATGTCTCTACAATTAAAAATTCTTTAAAAAAAAAGGTCTGCAGGGGAACCTTAAAGTGTGTGCTCGAAAAGAAATGAGTAAGTTAAAAAATGCACACAACAAACTCAAATGAGCAAATGAGCGTCGAGTGAAAAAATAAGTCGATCTTCAATGAATAGACTTTAAATGCCATATATATTTCGAAAAGGCTGTCAAATTGAGAAATTTCAGAAAGCAGTTGCATGAGCAGTCACACCTCGCATGTAAAGTGTCTTTCGAAAGACGTTTTTTTTTATTTTTATTTTCGAAAGGCGAATTGCAGATTGCTAGCGCAGCACGCGCAATTTGACATATATTTCCGAAATCGATTTGCGCTCTATCAATTGCAGTCACATCTTGCAACTTTTATTTCTGAAATTAATTTACCAAAATGTGATAGAATCGTCTTTCTAGTTGCTGACACATCGAAATAAAATTTCTCTTTCTCAATTCGACAGCGAATTGCGTGGAAAAGTTGAAAATATTGCCACGTCTGACACGCTCTTAAAAATGATTGTATGTGTGTGTGAAATTGTTGCTTTTTTTGCTTTTTCGACTGTCTGTTAAATTTAACTTCTCGTTAAACACATGTTCGACCAGGCAGTCGATATGTTTAAATGAAAGTTAAATTTAACAGGCAGTCGTAGTAGCTTTTAACTTTTTTTGACCTTTTAGCTTAGTATATAGGTCTCCAGAAAGAAAGGCGAAATTCATATAAAATGACGTTCGAGGAATGGAATAGGAATTTTCTTCTTTCAAAATTTTCATAAATAAGTTTACACCTCTCAAGAAAAAAATGCTACTTTTCAAGCAACAGAAATAATGTGAGAGCTGCATACTAAGCTTTAGGGCTCTATTCTGCATCAGTGACAAATTCTTGTCACAGTTTTTATTACGGAAAAATATATGAAAAAGTTTAAATTTGTCAGTAAAAAAAAATGTTGTCACTGATACAGAATTGGGCTATTAAACACAAACTTTGTTCCCAAAACATGTGTTCAAAGAGCAGATTAATTTTGAAAGCTACTTGGCAAAACGTGCCTTACTGCCATCCCTAAATTGGCGCGTCAAGCGCCAAACAACTGTCAAAAATCCTCATGCCCATACAATTTGTATGAAGCATCCCACAATAACGCGGCGCTAACGCCGAGCAAATGGAATTTTCATTTTTGACAGGGCGTTACGTGTTGAAGTTGGATGCGGAAGACGGAAAGAAAGAGAAAGGACAAAAAAGCGAAAGAGGAAACGAGAATAAAAACGAGAGGATCTGAGAAAACGTCAAAAATTACGACGCGTTGATTTGGGGATAGCGCGCGCTGACACTCGTCTACAATGGATAACGCAACGCTTAGCGCTCCAATTTAGGGACGGCAGTTAGACTTTTTCATATCACTTTCCGTGTATCTTTATACATGTGTTTGTGTGTTCTAGTGCGTTGAGAGAAAATCACAAAATCGTGAAATTGACAGTTGTGTTTTGGCATTTGTATTAAACAGATGTTTGTTTTCTAAGCTTACTTCTAAGTTATGTATGAATGTATGTATGTATAGTATTTTATCTAAAATTTGAAACATTTGTATGATTTCGGAAAATTTGTTTTTTTTCTAATGAATTTACAAATTCTAATTCGTTGAATAGCACGCTATAACTATATAGAATTCAGTTGTATATATAATTTCCTTTACTTCCTCTTTCTAAACATCCACAATACATATTTTATTATTGATTATATAAAGTTAGGGTTTTTTAATTTACAAATTTTCTTGTAAAAAGTTTTTATTCAGCTGTTTTTTATTAGATTTTTTTTTTTAGTGTGTTAAACACATACTCATACTATGCTAAATGTTTTAAAAATTTTTCAGAAAAAGGCAATAGTAAGTTGTATATAGGTTCTATACATACATTCATTTAATATATGCAGAAAATTCGCTAGATTTTTATATCCCTCCCACCTAAACACTAATTCATTTTATGTGTAGTCAATTTGTATAGCCACTGGTAATGAATAGCTAAGTACATTAACAAGAAACTTTTAGTTATAACTAAATATTTAAATATCTTAACTACTTAAGCTAACTTAATTATGTAGTACCGGGGTTAGGTCGGTATGGCAAGAAACGATGAGAAGAAAGAACAGTACAAGTCCACCTGTACTGACTTGGACTTCTACTAGCTTCTTTTTTCTCATTGATTCTGGTGAAGTAATGAAATATATATGTATGTTTGTACCTACAGAGCTAACTTATGCTGATATTAAAAATATCAATTATATTACAATGTTATAGTTTGATTAGTTATAAACCAAACATTCTTTAGTTTTTTTTCGCTCATAATAACGAGTATTTTTTCTTTCCTTCCAGATTTACTTCTGTATTTCGAATCGTAGGCTATCTACAAAATTCGCGGTCACAAGGCTGTCTCTTATAACCAAAATCGTAAATCGGGTGTGTTGAAACAGCAACAAAACCTTAATGCAGGAAAAATTATTTAAATAAAAATAAAAGAAATAAAAAGAAAGAATTGCGCCGAACATCAACAGATATCAAGAAAGGTAAGAATGCTATTTTTTACATCCGATTAGTAAAAAGAAGAATATTTACTGCACGTTAAACAGTGTTTGCGATTACATAACATATAATAGGGAGTCGTTAACGATGTTTAATGTAGGGTTAGTGTTAACCAGACATTGTGTAACTGGCCATAAGCCTCCTCAATCTTATGTATGATTTTAGTACTGGTTTGCTAAAAATATAGATCGTTTGAGTAATAAATGATAATGAAGAGTACCACGCCTCCTTCAATAAGAAATGGCCTTAACTTCGGGTGTGAGAATCAATTGATTACGAAACGCTTACAGTAAACTGAGACGCGGTTGTCTCAAACAATACTTATTTCTATTGTATATCAGTCTTAAGCTCGGCAAGATACTTCGATTATCAGACCGCTTGTATTCTTTCATAGAGTAACGGTCAAAATTGAGTCACATAATTTACCACAATTCCCTTCTCTGGATCCAAGTATATTTGCATCAATGACCTGGAAGAAGGCAGTCACTGAAACATATGCCAAAGTAGTAAAGTAGAAGAAAGAGTCGACCAGATCTTCAATAACTGGGCAACATCTAGATAAAAACCCAACGACAATAAGGGTCATGGTTTGCTAAACTTGAGATTGGAATGATCGGAATTTCCCCTTCGTAACTTTTTGTGGAGACTGATTAGGCAGGGTACCCTCGCGGTTATGCATTTAATGAAGTAGCTTTTTGAGGGCTGAACTTGAACTGATAGCCTTATGTCTGCTTAGCCTATGTTACGACGCAACTGAGACACTTATGTAATTTTAGGCTGCTAGATTTTAACAGCAAACGACTCTGGAAGTTAGGATTATCGACTAATCCGATTCGCTCAGATGCAATAAACCCTCTTTGTAGGAGGAACTGTCTAAACGAGTAAGCTTGATTTGATGTCTTTGAATTGCGATATTTTGTGGACTAACTTAGACTCATTAACCTGCTGCAAATTCAGTAAATGCTAGTAGAAATCCCATACTTTTGCCTTGCAAGGCCTTTCTGGTATGGATTAGACCAGATGGCTCAAAAAGCTCCTTAGCATTATTAATAATCCTTTTCCTACGCCAATGACAAACGCATCGCATGAATATTGTCTTAACTTTTATACCTAAAACTTTTCCGCGAAATATAAACGCAGTTTCAACGTTGCCGCGTAAGGCATAACAATAACATTGACAATTTTAATAATTGGAAACGGGTTTGTAAGTTTTTGTAGCATAGTTTTTGGCGTAGCCATGCGTAATTTACGTAGCAATAGGAGTGTAAAATCTGTAATCCTTATCCTTACTAATATTATAAGTCCGAAAGTGAGTTTGTTTATTTGTCACGATTTCACGCTTCAACTAGTCAACCAATCATTATGAAATTTTGTACACTGGTGTCATTTAGCCCAACTTAAAATAAAGGATCGATTTGATCTCGATTGCACAAGGGGGCGTGGCACCTGCCATACAATCGGAATTTTTCATGCTACATATCGCAGGAAATATTTGTGATAGAGGCATGGAACTTGGTATGGAGATATATAGAATCAATTCCGCACTCATGGGGGAGGGCTGCCACCTGTTTAAAAAAGAAATTTCAACTTGAATTAAGGAAATTATTTATTTGAAAATTATATTAAAAAAGGGATGTCAAGAGGCCAAGAAAAGTTGGTAGTTTGAAAATATTTTGAAAAGGGTTGCCACCCGTTTAAAAAGTCAAATTTAAATTCGTTATTCGCAAGCTATCTGAAAAATTAAAATATGGTTGTCAAACGAAAGATTGCTAAGAAACCTTCAGATTGAATATATAGAATATTATTGAGGTGTTTTACTAGGGTTACCACCCAAATAAAAATTAAATTCAATTAATTTAAATGAATTACTGCAATATGGGTGTCAATCGAAATGTTTTTGAAAAGGGTTTAAGTTCTAAACTACATGAAGAACGGTTGCCACCTTTTTGAAAAATCAAATTCTAATTGAAGTTAGGGATGTCAGACCAAAGGGGTTTAATGAGAGAATTTAAATTAATTATACTCAAATTAAAGTGTCAGACGTAAGAGTGTTTAGAAATGTTTAGCTTGAACATGTAGAATCTTCTGAGGTATTTAAAGAGGGTTACCACTTATTTTAAAACTATATTCAAATACAATTATATTGTAAGTTAAATTAGTTCTTATAATATAGCTATTAATCGAATGTCTTGGAAAGGCTTTATTTCTAAGCTACATATGCATAGCAGGGTTTCCACAGATTTGAATTCAGGGTATATAATATGTGAAAAAGTATCACAATAGAGAGGCTTAAGAAAGTTTCAGTTTCAAAATAATACAAAATAAATAAATATATGTTTACGAGGTTTCAGCTGGTTTTTTGGTCGAGTTGAGTTTAAGCGCATTCAGTTGTATGTACATAAATAAATGAAAAAATGAAAGCCTTGATTTCTAATAAGAGTGCTAAAAAATTAAGCGAAAGCGGATTAACTTCATTGAAAAACTAACATAAATCAAATAAAAAACTTGAAGGGATTGTCATTGGTCAAAATAATAATTTTATTTGGTAAAAGTAAATAACTAAAATTTTTAACATATATTTTACATGCCAGTCGAATTTTTGGGCATACATTTAATTGTTTTAAAATGTTTTTTTTTTCAACTAAATTCAGTAACAAATTTTTGTTTTTTGCTTCAAAAATTCATTCATGTTATGCGTATTATCTTTTTTTACGATATTAATGGAACTTATGCCTAAATTATACACTATTACGCTGATTCCAAACAAATTATTTTAGTTGCAACTCTGTTTTTCTGTTTTTTTTTGCACACGCACTAGATTTTTACAATTTATAATTTCACTGTTGCATAGAGATGAGGAAGACGTTTTAGGGAGAAGATATGCGCTACCACTTTTTACGCATTTTACAAATTTATTTTATATGTGTACCTTTTTAGTAAGTTTTTTTTTGTTGACCAAGGAAAGTCTTACAGTTGTCACTTGTTGTGTTAAATTTTTTTATCATTATCATTATATATAACTCTTAATAGTGTCATAGTCGCTTATGTTCTTTAATCGTTTATCGTTTAACACTTATCGCTAATATTTCGTACACACTTACATAACATTTTTTTGTATGCCTTTTTTTTGACAACTTTACTACTAGATATATTTAACCACTATTTTATTTAAGCTAGACACAAACCAATTTGAAAATGACGTTATCATACTTTGCTTTTTATTACAGTTTTTGTTACACAACTGTTGATGGTTTTTTGCTATTAACAATTTTCAATGCTACTGTTTTTTTATACTAGCTAAACTAGAATTTATATACAATTTGATTATATATATATTTTTTTCGCACAATCTGCGCGCTCAGTTGCGGTTAGGAAGATTTTGCGCTTAAATTTTATAGATTTGCTTATTTTATTTACTATCGGCAATACATTTAAACGTTTTCTTCTTTGTTTTTTTTCAACTTGTTATGTTTACTTAAAACTCGCTTATTACAGTAATTATGCTATGTATAACTGTAATAAAATATAATCATTTCGTAACTACGACTTCAAATACAAAGTTACTTAACTTCCTTGACCTATGACTTTAAATCAGTTTATTTATTTTACAGCTAATCACAGAGTTGATGATTTTTATAGACAAACTTTTTAACAGTGTTGCATTTTCAGAGATGCAATTTCACATTCGCTATATAAAAGTTTTTGTTTGAAAATTTAATACAAATATATGTAACTGCACTACCTAACAATGCATACGCAGTTTGAACATTTCTTTTAATACTATTGTGTGATTTTTCTTTTGATTGTGTGAAATGTATGTTTTTTATAGAAGAATTTTATATTGAAATGAATGCATGTACATACATACATACATATGTCTGTATGGAGTTCAATTGGTTTTGTGGTTGAAATTTCATTTGGTTTGTTGGATAGTTTGAAAAATTCCCTAATAGTTTTGCCACATGCCTATGAACATACATATCTACAGAGTTGTATTTATTAGTGTATGGGTAAAAAATCAAGCTTTACGGCGGAATACAAAAGCCGTCTTGTGGCCTTAGTTGGCCTTCGTTGAAGTTACAAGTACATATAGACAAACCAAAGAATGGGTAAACTCAGAGCTGCAAACAGCCAAGCTTGTGTAGAGAGCTCAGGCAGGTAAAAGTTTCTCGCCGAAAAAGGCTAGACGATCGATCGCACCGCTCGGGTGCTCAAATCAAAATCTCTCATTCAAATCCATGATACTAGGCACGGATAGAACAAAAAAAATTGAAGGTTTTTAGTAAGATTCTACATGAAAGAGATTTCGGAAAAATTGGGCGCAAGCAGAGATACATCAGCCATACAAACTCTAAGTGACTTCTGAGATGATGAAGTAAAAACAACCACTAAAAAGACTTTGAATTTTCTATCTCACGCTTTTAGTTTATCTAACTTACTTACTCTATCGGCTCTAGACATACATATTTTCTATAATTCCATTTACATATACATACATACGCTACACTTAATATAATATAGTTACATAGTTTGTTGTATGCTACTTCGTAACTTATAGTTAGTGTTTAATTCCTTTCAGCCATCGGTGGAGGAGTGCGGTGATTTCACCAACAACAACTCTTTGTAGTCCGAGTCCTCGTTACCGCTATTGTCCCGCTGATCCATGCGTCTGCGCTCCGATATGATACGCATTATATCGGCCGAATCAGATTTGCTTAGCGCAATCTGTTCTACGACCATAGCGGCAGCGGCGCCATTAACATTGCCACTATTGGCACCGTTAGAGCTGTTATTGTTCAGCTGATCGTTATTGCTGTGCACATTGCCGTTGCCATTGTTAGCAGTTGTGGTGCCACTGCTGGCTGCAGTGCCATCACAATTGTTCTCGACAACAACCGGCAAGAGCAGCGTATTCTCGTCCATATCTGGATCTTCGTCTAGCGCTTGCTGTTTGAAGAGCTGCTTGGTGCTGCCACTTCGACTGCGTGGCGGCATGCCACGCGGTACGGATAGTAATCCACCACTGTTACCGCGTCCACTACCTAATGCACCACTGCTGCTAGAGGCTTGGTCGGTTGAGAATGAGCGTCCGTAAGTGCGACGTGGTGCCGATCCGGCTGTTAAGGCATTGCCGATTGGTAGTGCAGCCGTTGCTGCGGTTGTTGCTAGTGGTGCACTAATCGGCGCTGTGATCTTTTCACTGATCACGCTCGCGCTCACAATACTGAGCGCATCGGAAGCGCCACTACTGCGCGCTGTTGCATTTGCTGTTGCTGCGACGTCTTCGCTGCGTATGCTGCGTATATCATATGTGGACGAGGGACTACCGGCGCCATCCGACTCTAAACTTTCGAAAATAGTGCCACGCCGAAAATCGTTGCTATCACCACCCCAGGGTAGCGAGTCGCAGCTCATTCGTTTCGATTCGAGCGTGCGTCGGCGTATGGCCTGCTCATCGAGTGAGCGTTCTTTGGCGAGTAGGCCGCGTTTATTACGGAATGCGGTCGAGCTGCGACGGCCGCGCCGTCCCAGCGGACCCGCAGTCGATTGGAGTTGGAGTTTTGTATCAAAGCTATTCTCCGCAGCTGATGCACTCAGTCGCGCGTTGAGCGCTTGTGATGCGAATAGCGCACCGCTTGCGCCAACACCACCGCCACCACCAGACCCACCATTGCTGCCAACAGCAGCACCTGCACCGGCGCCAGCCTGTGTGCCATGTCCCAGTTCGGCCATACCAATGCCATTCGGTTGATTAAAGTATTGCACGGTCTGGCGGCGGCCACCAATGCCAGCGGCACTCAGGCCACCGATGCCACTTAACACGCTTGGGAATTTTTTGTCCAGCGACGGCGTGCTGTAGGTGAAGTTCTTCGGCAATGATTTGATTTTGTTCAGCTGGCGCGCTGGTGGCGGCGGTTGCGACTGCTGTTCCAACTGCTGACACAGCTTTTGCTCGCTCTCAAACTCCTGCTCGCGTACAAGTTCGCGCTCTAGCTCTACTTCCATGTCCATTTCGTCTTCCATCTGTTTGTGACTCTCCTCGAGGTGTTTCATCAGTACAGCCACGACGACATTCACCAGTACGAACTGCGCCATCAGAACGAATATCACAAAGAATATTGGAGCGATGATTTTGCTAACGCAACAATCGCGCACACAATCATCCGCATCGTCACACTCATCTCGCAGCGTATCCTTCATGATGCCGTTCCAGTTGTCGCCAGTCGCTACGCGAAACAATGTGAGGAAAGCCATGCCGAAATTGGCGAAATGTGCATGTTCGCCTAAGCCCTGGCATGGATTTCTTTCGGAACATTCCAGCCTACCGAACAGCTCCACGCCCAGGGCGGCGAATATAAAGAAGAGCAAAAAGAAGAGCAGGCCCAAATTGCCGACCTGCGGCAAAGCCTGCATCACGGTGTCGAGCAGCGCACGTATCCCTTTGGCCATTTTGAGCAGTTTTAGAACTCGCGCAATACGCAGCACACGCATCACACGCATTATAGTCGGATTGATTAGAAATCGTCTCGTTCCCCAATCCTCCAGCACAATGCCGATGACCGATAGTAGCACAATGCCCACGTCAAGTTGATTCCAACTGTCTTTCAGGTAAAGTTGCCAGCCAAGCGCCAATACTTTCATGCTAGCTTCCAATATAAACACAGCCGTGAAGAAGTAGTTAAATACCTTGAGCGTATATACCAACGCCTCATCCATGCCATAATATTCCATAGCCATGGTGACAACATTCAGTCCGATCACAGCGGCAATAGCCAAATCAAAATACTTCGATGTGACCACATTGTGCACGAACATACGCGATGGCGAGTAGTTTATGTAGTAGGGTGGCTCGTGCATGCGCCTACGTTTCTTTTCCATTTGCAGCGCACGTTTGGCGGCACGACGAATCTTCTCCTCCTTCTCCTGCTCCTCGCGGCAACGATGGAAATTTTCAACGACCACACCGACAAACATGTTGAGCACAAAGAAACCAACCAGCAATATGAAGGCGATGAAATACAGCAAACGCCACTCATTGTAATTGACAACCGGTTGTTGATCCACGCCCACTGCATCTAACCCCGTATACATGATGTTCACCCAGCCGTCGCGAGAACTCAATACGAACAACGACATCAACGCCTTGCCAAGATCATCGAAATTATATTTGCGATTCTTCCATTCATAGCCGCGTTCGAGACACTGCAACTTTGTTTTCACCTCCTTGAGATTCTCTCCTTCGCAATAGAAGAAGGTGCCCTTGAAAAGTTGCACGCCTAAGATGCCGAATATGATGAAGAAGGTGCAGCAGATCAGCACGATGTTGCCGATTGGACGTAGGGACGATAAGAGCGTTTGCACGACTAATTTCAGACCCGGGGCGCGGTTGATCACACGCAACGGCCGTAGGGAACGAAGTAGTCGAAACACCTGCAATGAGACAATGGGCAAAGTGATGGAGAAGACATTGGTTGGTGGGCGTGGGTTTTTGGGAGGCAAAACAGCGGTAATGAGAGGAAGTCATTCGGGAATTGAAGTAGGGTTGTGTGAGAATTAATTAAGCGAATATTTAATGGAACGGAGGTTAAAAAGGTTGGAATTAACAAAAAATAAGAGGAGAGTTAATGTGAGAGAGGATCGATAACAAAATATGAGATGACATGTGATGTGATTTATTGGGAGGAGATGGGATTAAATTGAGATTAGATGAGATGAGATTAAAGAGATGTGATGAGATGAGATAAGATGAAATGATTGTAGAGGGCAAAACCCATTAAAATGAGGCAGGGATCAGAATAAAAGTAAAATTAAAATTAAAAAAAGGGAAAATAAAGGCAGAAGAAAAGAAGACGAGAAAAATAAGGGTACACGTAATTCAGAAAGTGAGGTTAGAAATAAGATAACGTTGCCAGGCAAATAAATACAGAACAAGAAGCGGGAAACGGGAATCATTTGGGAACAAGGAAATTATTATTTAACCAATTGTTCGCATATCCATGAAAAATGTGAGAAAAATTACAAAAGGAAAATTAGTAACGATTTTCAAGTATTCTTTTATATAAAATTAAATATATGCAACAATCTATCAAGCACAGGGCAGAAAATATGCGAGAAATGGGTCAAGTTCTTTCACAACGATAATAACTTTTTTCACAACTATATTTTATAACTTATTTTCAAACTTTTTCCCCAATATACTAGAAATACAAATACATATACAATATGAAATCAGCAGAAACAAAGAACGTTCCTCAGCAAGGACATGTACATACATACATACAAGAAAATGTTTATTTCATATGCGGTCAAAAATTGGGGTAGGAATTTTTCGTTAAAAAAAGTGCTGTACTTTAATAGAATTCAAAACTAAGCGGGAATGTTTTTACTTTGGTGTTGGGAGGTATGGAAATTTTAACTTTAGCTGACAATGAGTTGATAAAGTATGAAATACGAACGTTTTAAAAAGTTAACACAGAAACGTGCAGAAACATAAAGAGAAAATTCAAAAAAGCCATTAGCTACCTGACATTTTTAAAGTATATGTATGTATATTTTCTTAACTTTAAATTCGAAAAATAAGTTGAGTTAAGTTTATTTTAAATCAAACAATGCTAGAAATATAGTGTTAAATACATGTTTAACCCCTTAACGATCAAGGCGAAAAGAGATGCCAAACAGACTAAAATATTTATAAATAAAAAATTTGCTAACCAAAACCGGAATTTAATTTCTTTGTCTAGTTATTGCAGTTCTCATCTTGCTTATCAAATATAGCGATGCCCAACACTGGCTACTCAACATTAACAAACGCTATAAATTATGAATGGAAATGTCTCCCTGACTAACTTTTCCGATATAGTATTATTATGTAGTCCAGATGGTCTGTGTGTGTGTTTTTTTTTTCAGGGAGGATTAAAGTTCTGACATTTTGGCCGAAGGTGGAATTAATTTAACGATAATGTTATGCATAAAACGACTTTAAATATAATTTCTGTCGTCAGATTTCTTCACTAAAATTTAGCTAGAATTTTTTTGTGGATAATTTTAACCCTTTACCTCTAAAATAACGGGTATTTGAGATCTTTATTTTAAAGGGGTTCCATGTTAGACCATTAAAAGTGACAGATAGAGGCTCAAAGTGCTCTACATACATAAATGTTAGGAAGACAGTTTTACTAGGGTTATATGTGCTGTAGTTCTTTATCTTCATTCGGGTTATATTAATTTGCAAATTTCTCGTAAGAATTTTTAAATCTTTGATTAAAGATGACCGCGTTATATAGTTTAATAAAAGTTTCGTTATAAATGCATATATCATATTAAGGCTTTTTTTCTACTGAAAAATGCATAGCTTCTAACTACCACTAACTTCCTACAGTAAGGGTAAAAAATACCGATAATGGCAGGGGCTAAAGGGTTAAACAAATTGGCTGCCAATTTGTGATATAGATTTTCACCCACATTATTTTATAATATCAGAATCACGAATGGAGTTAAATACCTATAGCGAATTTAGGTTTAGTCGGATAAGTTTTTTCATTTTATGGGATAAGTGTTGCCGCTGTGCGACTAAAGGGGCAATTCGACCCTTTTTAAGCGCCAATACCCTTTGGCCCGACTTTTTGATATTTTGACCCTTTTTCAAAATTATGTGCGACTTTTGCCACTTTTCAGAGATTTTTTTAGGAAATGTTAACAGAATCATGCTATTAAAAAATATTTCCTCCTAAAAGTACTAAAAAATGTATCACTTAAAACGTTTAAAATAAAGTGCAACTCTTCTCCTAGCAGCAACTAGATTTATGTGTATGTTTGCAAAACTGTTTTATGCAACGCTTGTCCCGCTATTTTCTTTTTAGTTTCAATAGATTTACCGCCCAATTCTTAATACTCCCGGGGAGTTTGTTCTCCGGGAATTGGTTACTCCCCAGAAAGAAATCCTGCAATGGAAGGAAATTCGAACTTCAAAAAAGCTGTTTGACACTTTTTTGAGAGCTCAACTCTGCCATTTAATATAAAAAATCCTCAGAAAATTTTTATTCATGATAGGAGGAAAGGGAAAAGAGAGAAAACTCCTAGAGAGTTTATGTTCAGAATCGACCTGTTATTCTTTTGCTAGTAAAGAAAAGCAAAACTATATGGTGACCCTTTTTTGAAGAATAATAATATCATCCACTATCTATGACCATTACAAGTGTCTGAGCTATAACACCTACAAAAGAAGGGTCTAAAAGACCCGTTATGGTAACAGTTAGTAGATTAAAACGTTCTAAAAAAATTACTCTTTATGTTCGAAGGTCGTAAATTATATTTTACATTTCGACAAATCTAAACTATTACTATCTTCGGCAAAGTTGGGCATAGAGGTATCCTCTTTCATAACATATACATAGCGTTTATTCCTTTTGTATAAAATTTTTGTAAATTTGTTGTACTGTGTAGTTTGCTTGCCCGCTAAAGTCTATAATCTGGCTTAATGTACATTCTTCAAGCAAAGACAGACGGCAACGTTGATCCGGATTAACGGCGCAATTGATCTGATCAAAATTGTGCCTTGACAGGCGGTAGTAATGCGGATTTGTGAGCCGCGAGGTCGTAGGTTCGAATCCCACGGCCAGTAGAATATTCATTTAATTTTTTTTAATCATTCAATTATAACTTCTATATTTTTTTAAGTTGTTTTTAATTAGTTGTCTTTGACTTCTTTAGTAAAATTAAACTCCAAAAATTTAAATTAACTAATAATAAAATAAAAAATGTGAAATCAAAAAAAAAAAACAAACGAAAATAAAATAAAGTAAAATTAAATATATTAATAAAATAAAATTTAAAAAAATTTAAGTAACAATAAATTTTTTTTTTGGAAATCGCTTCAACCGTGGACCTGCAGACTTGTAGTACGCAGCCCTCACCACACGGCTACCGCGATGAAGTAGTTGGCTGCTTTGTTTGCGTATTTGTTTGCTCAGAGAGCGTAGAACACAAAGAAAATTCAAAACTAGCATGGAAATCCACCTTGTCGTCGGTAATACAGTCACCATATTAATTCAAATAAGTTCTTATTCAATTTCAATTGGATTCCTATTTGAATTTGTATGGTGACTGCATTACCGATGAAAAGGTATATGTACATGCTAGTTTCGCTCTATCTCTATTCTACGCTCTCTCAGTTTTGGTCAGTGTTGTCATCGAATATTCCCTTGATCCGAGTTAAGTTTGAGAATTAACTCTACTTAGGATCAACTGCAGTTAATTCCCGAGATAATTCCGAATTAAAGAGTTGATCCGGATCAACGCTGCCGTCCGTTATGCTTATAGTAAAATAGTCGACTACCGCCTCTGAGTGTGGCTAAAGCTATCCAAAGTGCAAGTATAAATAAACACTCTAGAGTCCTTGGATTAAAAATTATGAATCTTTCTCAAATTGATTGCTCATTTCTTTCCCACAAACGTAACAAAATTCTATATTAGTTAAATACCGGCGAATATAGAGCAAAAAAAAAACGAACTTCTAATTCCTACATTCAGTTTTTTTGCAAAAAAAAAATTAAATTTAGCCTAAGCTAGCATAAAATAACTACGCTTTATCCCTTTATTCCGCAGTTTAATTAGCATTAAACACACATTTTTTTAATCAATTAAAAATTTGCACGCGTCAGCGCAAAATTTCGCCATAGAAAATGAGGAAAAAAGTCAATGTCATTAAAAATCAATTAAATGTTTGCATTTACACCAGCGCGTGGCGTGAGCCAATTAATTAGTTAATTAAGAAAAAATATCGCCACAACCCTTCTACTTCATTTTACTCTTTGTCTCACAAAAAAAAAATAGCTTTTAACCTGATTTGACATTTTACCAGCACTGCAAGCAACTGTAATATCGCCAACATCGTCCTTACTCAATATACTCCACACCCTAAGCAAATTATTGTAAAATACTACACAACTTAACCCCTTAATCCACGTTATGTCATCATGTATGTATATACATACATACTTATATACATATGTATGCAGATAGATCAAACATACTTGCCCACTACTTACCCTTAAAATCCCAAATATCTTTGGACTCGATTGGCTAAACAATGACATTAATAAATCAATGATTGATATTATAACCAATGAGCCATCCATTATATTCCAGCCGGATGTAAAGTAGGCATCAGGGCCATAAAACATGCCAGTCGACACCACCTAAATAGTCAGGGACGAAAGTAGTAAAAGAGAAATGCAAATCATTCAAATAGCCAGTAAAGGTAAAGTGTTAGAAGGTGTTGGTGTATGTGTGTGTGTGTGTTTGAGTGTGGTCTACATACGCACGTTTAGAATGAAATTACCCATAATGACAACTTAATGACGCTAAAGGCACACTGTCGACAAAGAATGATGAAATATGACGGAATACGGCTAAGTGAACGCTGTACATAAATGTTTTTAACTTAGTTCATATTGAGTTATTTAACATTGACTACAAAGGATCATTGCAACGTCTAACTTCTCCTCTACATCAAGAGATTTTGGAAGCACTCTCGATGAGTATGCGCTTAAGGTCTTACTCGAACAATAAAATAAAAACAAAAAGTTTCTCTATAAGCAACAAAAAAGATAAGTAGTGAGTTCAGAAAGGCAACGACTAAGTTTTAAAATATAATAAAAAACCCGATTGCCTCTGATCGGTTATACTGAGGCCTCTCTCTTGAAGTTAGAGTGGTTGCAACAGACCGTCTTTATTGGCAACAGTGATACAGTTGGAACAGCCCTCACTTTTGCAGTCAATAACCAGTAATTAAACGCCCACTTACAACCTGCGGTCAGAGTGAGGAAGACTTGGTGCTTAAAAAAACCTTGAGCTTCGGACGAATCTTACTAGCTGCAATCACTTTCTGTTCTCTAATTCCTCAAAGAATAATCAGCTAGCAGGCAAAAGCTGGAATGACAAACACTTGTACTTTTATTTGAACAGGTTGAGCCTTGACGGTTGGATCGGTGGAAATATCTTCTGGGAGTACTCTCCATCGGGCTCAATTTAGGGCTTACGGAATACTGTATCACGCAGAGGTGACTGTCGATTAGTCAAAGAAAGCGCGAATTTTTCTTTCAGTTGCGTTATAATGTTTCCTTATTAGACTCGCAGGTACCACAACATGCAGAAAGTGAAGAAGCCTGTATGGTGCTTAAGTTGGTTACATAAGCTCCGGCAAGGCGGCTCTATAGTGCAAGGATACCTGCGTCCTATCTACTCTTAGATGACTTCATGTTAGCTTACCGAGCAAGGTGGAACGGAAATGTTCAAGGGAGTTTCTTAGGCTCAATTGAAAATATTCTTGACCTTAGACTCGGGCTGTATAAGTCAGATAAAGATAATGCTAACGATATTTCATCGTAGATCGGTTTCACAACCGTACCTAGCCTACAAGCCGTCTACTGCTGGGAATTCCACAGAACATTGATCTAAGCCGAACTAAATATATCGCTAAGATCCCTCTTATAGACCTCTTCTTGCTTCTTCACTGATCAATTTCGTATATATGTATATGGTTAATATACACAAACCTGGCTTTGAATTCTACATGCATACGTAGCCACCGCTTATATTGAGAATTTGCTAAGCCATATAAGAAAAAATAACATGCCATTTCATCCAATCGTCCCACCTTGTTTTATCCTTCGCTTGTGACCATAGATTTGCATTCCTTCTGCTCTTTCCAAATTTCGAAAATACTCAATATTGCGATTGCTTTGCCAATTCCTAAATCTTGTTCAATTCATCAATTTGAGAGCAACATCATTGCAATTGCGTTAATTAACCACTTCCAGCATTGTCTAATCAACCATAGCCCATTCAACCAGAGAGTTGAAGCAAAGCTATCCAATTCAGTGCTGGGGACTAGCAAAGCATTTCTTAGCCAAATGCAAAGTCAGAAATATCAGAAGTCCTCGAGGTAAACGCCAAAAACGAGTGTATTTTCATTCATTGTAGTACAACACAGCGGTAAAGCATAGTAAATATCACCAAATCCTTAGCACTTAGGACATTGCTCGCATGCTGTGCCAATGAATGCGCAAGCATGTGCAAGCACACAAATATGTGTATGAACATGTTCGGCAACAATGTACATATGTAACTAAATGCCGAAAATGCTACGGTAATTACCATGAAAGCAGAGCGCCTGTTGCCAGTAAGACTTAACAAAAGTAGTCTTGTATACGTGGCAACATGCTGGTTGAGCAGACATGGCATGGACAGACAGACTAAAGGTTACAGTAACAACTACTGCATGTGGTGTTATTGTTTTGTGGATGTATGAATCTTCCTTAGTATTGTCGAATGTATTTATGTATGTATTTCATTCTGTTTTTTTTTGTCTGAGTAATTCTGGACTTACCTTAATGAGCATTTCCACTGTAAAAACGGCTGTGAACACGTTATTGGCTGTGGCAAGAAAATAACGCTCCGTACTCGTTGGCGGTATATTTGGTCGTTCCATAGCCAAGGTAATACAATTGAGTGCGATAAACAGCAGGACAACATTGTCGAACCATTTCTGATTAACAAACCACACACATAGTTCACGGAACCTGTTGAGTGTGAATGGAAAGCAAGCAAAATGAAATTGCGACAAAGTAAATAAGTGTAATTGCTAATGAGAACGAGAAGAATATAAAGGAAACGTAGTTATTGAAGTATTAAAATTGGCGGAAGGAAAAATAATTAAAGCTTATGGGCCAAAGACATTTAAGATTTCTTTTTCCGCACTTCGAAATACTCAGGTGTTAATTTTTGGACACATCTTTCCAAAAAACCTTTTAACACTAACCAAAAAGATGTGAGGTGTTCTTTTCTTGACACTTTTTTTTCAAAACCCCCCTTAACACTTACCGAAAAGTGTGTCACAGTCTCTGGTTTTAGCATTTTCGAAGTACTAAAGAGCTATATGAGTCCAATGCGCAAAGTATTACTTTTCGAATCCCTCGTTCATGATCTAAATGACGCGAAGATCAAAGGAAGTTTGTAAATCGGAAAAGAGTCTTAAAATCTCAGCATATCTATAGTCTTATAAAGCTTCGTGAATACCCAAATGAGTGCTTTTAGGAGCTTTATTGGCCCGAAGCAGCTTCAGGCATTATTGAGCTCCCGATAAGTACTCATTCAAGTCCAAACGACTTGCTTGTCTAGGCTCAATAGTACTAAGCTTACATAATTTTTCTCCAACTACCTGAATTAATTTCTTCTTCTGCTCGAAATTATTTACTTAAGTGATCGTCATGGAGATTATTATAGGAGTAGCCTGCTCTCTGATCGATATTTATAATAAGGATTAACAACATCGGGAGGGAAGAAAGAACTATTTTATTAATTATAGATCTATTTACATACACTTAAGGCCATCAGCATATCCATTCTTTAAGTATTTCTTACTCCATATCGACAGCTGAGTGGAAGATCGACCTATCTCGGCAGCCAGTTCAACCAAATTTTGAAGTAGACGCGTTCTTGAATAGTTTTCCGAGATAGGGCGTTTTTGAACCGGCCGCCTAGATAGGTCGATCTTCCACTTGGGCTTATGAACAGTTAACTATGTTTCAGGTTGCAGACTGTCAAGCTAAGTTAAAACCCTGAAGTAGTTGTGGACACGCAAATATTATCAGAAGTTTTATTTGCCCGATGAGAATTGTAGCAAATGCAACAAGTGAGAACGCAGCAACCACGTTACATTTCTGGCATTTGGTGTAATCATTATGGTTCGTGACTTCGATAGTAAGCTTTTTTAAATATAAAGTCAAACGTTTTTACACAAAAACTGTTTGATAAACCGAATGAGAATTCCAGCAGTTAGCAGCAAGTTTTTGTTATTTCTTTCTTGCTGTATTTTTAAGAAGCATCACCATTAGCCAAAGCCAAACACACACATACATACATGCATACAAGTGCATGTGACCGACCACCTGCTGCTCGAATACATGAGGCCAATCCTATAGCCAAATAAGTCGAGCAGTAAATGGGCTTTCCGCCACTCGAATTGTGAGAGCAAATGCATCAATGTACGAATGTGGGTGTTAAATAAATGAATGAATTGCCGACTAGATAAGCTTTGCTACTTGCTGGCTATTGAGTGCACAACTGGTCAGGCGAATAGGTGGTGCGGTCGGTTGGTTGACACTATTGACCGGTCGGTGGCGGTGGCAGCCACAGCTGGATACTGCTGGGATTTTGGCAGCGTATAATCACCATACATACATATTTGGAGATTATATCTCTGTTTACACTTACATAGATGTGCACAAGTATGCACATAGGTATGTATGTATGTAATGCCTGCCGCAAAACAGGATACTAAAGTTTTCAAACAAACTATCTCATTGTCAGTGAATGAAAGTTTAGCGTTTTTCCTTTATTTTTTGTTTTCTTTTCCACATTGCAGTTGGAGGCAGAGCAACAGCGCTGAGTAGCAAGCAGCACTAGCAATGAGCCATTGCAAAATAGCTGCTGAATTAAATGCTTGACTGGGCACAGCAAATAAAAGTAAAACTTTGTATTTACGTGAGTGCAAAAATTCCCAATGGCATTGGGAGTTTGAATGCAAAGAGCGACGAAGTGGAAAAAATCAGCAGGTGACTATGTAGATTCGAATTTCAAATGTATGTATTTACATACATGCACATGTAGGTGTGTGTATGTAAAAATGTGATATGCATGTACGTAAGCTTGTATGGTTTGGCGGATTACGCTACTTTTTGTGGGATTACAAGCTACAAGTGTTGAAGTAGCTTTGGGTAATTGTAGTCTAGTGGTTATTACGAAATTTCGAATTCAACATTACCATTGTACTACGGTAAAAAAAAAACCTGCATGACAATGCTGCATTAAGTGGGATATGCGCGTAATTTTACTGTCGTTATGAAACTTGTGGAAATTAGTGTAGTACAATTGTTTTCGGTGTCCAATTTCCTTAGTTGCTATGGAAGTAAAGAGTGCGCCCAAAAGTATGCAACATTACATGGTGTGTATGTCTTAAAAAAAAAAAAACTTCTCAAACGACCCTTATTGCAATTTCCCAAAGCCGGAAGCTACTGGCACAAAGTATCATGCTCCTTCCTCTTAAGGGCAGAGGTTTGTTTTTTACCACTAGTCACTGCCTATACCATCTTCAGTTATTGACTATGCTCTAATATCGTTAGTCTCTTGTACTAAACTTCATCGTCATTTCATGGTTTGTCTCAATATGTCTCGACGAATCCTACTAAGCGTGAATCCACCATCACTTCACCTACTACTGTATGAATCAAAGGATAAAAGTCGTCGAAGGCTCTCTCTTTAGAAACGAAAGGCCTTGTTAAGGTTGCATTAGCACAGAAAATGATTATCAGACCTCGCTACGGTTCTGTTGCACTTGCTGGGGAAGCAGGTGTGAAATATGTTCACACCACTAGACTCCGTTCAGCGGCGGCAATGGGTATATGAAGGCAGTACCTTCCAAAAAATCGTATGCTTTTTACCTTCCCATAGAAGGTGTAGTAATAAGAAAGATAAAAAATTTGTTATTCTTGTTGTGAAGATCTCAGTTGGCATCTTCAAGGGAAGGTATCGGCAGCATCTTTGTCTCTTCTTTGGAACAGACTCTTTCATAGCTGATTCAAAAGGACTGTACTAGATTATTCTATTCTTCGGGAATATCTAGTTGAGGAAAAATGTTCGGTTTAGAGTAATCTTGTTACCGTCCTCAGAGTATGTGTCCTCCGAATCAGCGTGCTATAAGTATACGGTTTAAGCAACATGTGACTTTCGCCGAGTAAAATTTCTATAAGCCAGTAACTCGGCCAGAAGAAGCTTAGTTTCCTAAATTTGAGCAGCAATCTCTCTTTTTTCGCACAGGAGAAAAAAGGTTATTGATATTGGCCAATCTAAATCTCCGTTGGGGTAGTCAATTTTAAGTAAGGATTCGCTCTCGAACTGTAGATAGTATATTCAATAACACTTTTTTATCGACAGGATACTACCCGAGTACCAAATGTGATCCACCATTATTAAGGTCCTTCAGATCTAGAATTGGCTGTCATATTCAAAGCACTAAACATATTTTCTATGACAACGGAAAGTAAATCATCAATCTTGCCTTTCTCATCGAATGTCCACGATTTCCGGGACATATTAATATCCACACTTATTAGACTCAGCGATCTCTTAACATCAGAATCCCTAATTCCTTCAGCAACTTCTTTTCGGACGAGGATATGACCAACACTTAAAGCCTTACCAGAGAGAAACGAATGCTTAAATTCTGACTATAGCTATTACTCCTGCCTGGCGAAGCAAAAAATAACCAATGCCAAGTTTCCGTAGAGAACCTATCATGTCTGTTTTCAATAACTTTTGATTCATTTCGTAAGACTCGTACATATTTTCTCTTGTCTTTAGAGTCGCCATATGCTGTTTCCACAATACTGACCCTATTTTTCTTCCAGAGATTTTACTTTGTTGTTTGATTTTCCAATATTATCCCTAGACTAGAGCTCTTTAGGACTCTACTCTACCTTTCATTCAAGCCCATTGTCCTTCTGACAATTTACTTTCTCCACCCTAGAACTTACCTATTATCCTCCGCGAATATGTACAGCGAGTATGTTTCCCTCTGCTCTGTCACGTTCGTCGGCTTCAGTCGCCGAATGAGCATTTTTAACTTCGTCTTATAACCAGAACTCTGCATCATCGACTGCTGTTCGGTACGCGTTTCTTGCTGTGTTTCTAGCTCATATTGTTTTTGCTGCTTTTGTTGCAAATTCTGCTGTCGCGCATATTGACTTATGGAACTTTTTCGCTTCTCACGCTCCTGTATATATTGTTGCAACATATCGGGCTCTTCTAAATTCGTGTATGATCGTTGCCACTTGTCCAAATCGAGTTTGGAATTCGTGTACGACATTGATTTGCGATTCGCCTCCAAATTGTGCAAATTTAGCTGTGAACTTTTGCTAAAGGCCAATTCGAATGAAGACATGCGCCGTTGAGTAGCTGAGGGCGCATATAGTTTGGGCGGCTGATTGAGATTTTGATAGAGCTGCGAGTTGAAGATGCAAGCTGAGGCACGACGGCTACCCAACGGCGGTATGCTGCCAATACTGAGTGTGGTGGAAAGACGACGTAAAGAATTTTGCGGACTCAATCGATTTGTGTCTTTCGTCTTTTGTTGATTATTAGTCTGATTGTTGGCTGTTAGTGGCGTCGCAACGCCAGATGTGGGCGTGCGCGCCGGACTCAAAAAGGAATCGGAGCGCACAGAGCCGCCATTACTGTGCGGCGCGAGCAGACAAGAATTGTCACTGCCATTGTTTAGCTGCTGCTGTTCGTCATCTTCGGCGCCACTACCGGCATCGGCGGGCTTCTTTTTCGAACGCTTCGAGCTGTTGCGTCGAAAACGTTTCAGGCTGGGTATGCGCTGCATGCCGGGCAGCGAAGGGCTGATTGTTGATGTCGCTGGGGCGGTTGTTGACGGCAGTGTGGGCGGCGCTTCATTGCTGCTGGCTGGTGACGAGGATGAAGGTGGGACTGCTGACGTTGCTGCTGCTTCCGATGCGGTGGTCGCTGTGGGCGTGTGCGACATAGCACCAGTGGTAACGGCAATGGCGGCGGCGGTTAAGGGCGATAACTCGATGCTGCTCACTGCGCTCCCTCCGCCACAACCACTAACACCAACACCACTAAGACCAGCATTGCCTGTGCCAGTTGGTAGTGGCGTGCTGGGCGCGGATACTGCCGAGATCGTTGTTGGCACAAAGATCGGTCCAGAGGCGCTGGCATCGGCATTCTTCGAGATATCATCTATGACAACACTATGCACACTACTATTGCTACTTAGGGCACTAGGGAGTAAACTACTACTGTTAGGTACTAAATTACAACTGCTTAGGTTAGTATTGCTTCCTTGTAGTTGGCTGGCATTCAGTATGTTCAATGGTTTGTGCGTAAGTACCGGTGATGGTGGTATGAGATCAATCGACGGAATGCCCTCGTCGAGTGAACGCTGGCCGGTGAAGATGGTCGGTGGTCTGAGTAGTGACGGCGAACCAGGGCACTGTGTACGAGAGAGAGAGAGAGAGACAAGGGAAGAGAAAGAAAGAAAAAAGTTTTAGCATTGGCATTTACGAGCAGGGCGAAAAGAAGTCAAGGGCAGCACACGTATGAGTTAAGTAAAAGTGTATGTATTTTAGCAAGGGCGCAAACCAGCATAATTGCATGAAATTTCATAATAAAATAGCAAGTAAATGCAGCAAGCAGACAAGACCTGCATAGCATGTGCGCGTGTGAAAAGCTCAAGTTCAAAGATTTTACGTTACCTTTTCTTCACTCACAACTTTACAAGGGATTTTTTGTTTTAGTAGTTTAAATGGAAAATAAGACTTTATGCAATTTAAGCGCCTTCGCCTTGCTCTTACCTGACTGCCGCCCCCACCGTCCGACGTTTCCAAATCTTGTGCATTCCAACTGCGAAAGCTCATTCCACCCTCGAGTGTGGTGTTGGGCGAGTCTTGTGGCGTTGCGGCGGTCGTAGTAATTATGGGCGGTTCACGCAATGGGCGTACACGTGATAGGCGTGGCGCATCACCGCGTCGCTCTCTTATAGAATATGTCTGCGGAAGAGAGAAAAAAGAATATAAAATTACGAAAAAAAGTAGAAATGCTCAGGTGATGTTATGTCATATGATGCCAATATCAAGTGATGTCGTGAAAATTCTTACAGAAAAAAACAGTAACAATAAAAATACTGTAAAAAGCTGAAATGGTCAGGTGATGACAAAATTCATCATATGATTTTATGTCACATGATGCCAAAATCAGTTGATCTCTTGAAGCATCAGCTGATAGGTAAACAGCTTTAGTAAAAGCAATTAGCGATACAAATTATGATCATAAGCTGAAGTGACCAAGAGATGTAATGAGCTCATGAGGTGACGCGTGATGTCCGCATGATGCCAAAAACAAGGGATCTAACGAAACATCAACTGATAAATAATCACGAATAGGGAAGCAATAAAAAGGATGATAACAAGTCGAAGTGATCATGTCATGTGACTGATGCTGAAGTGAAGTGATGGTCTGTGATCAAGTGATCTCATGAAAAAACATCGAATAAAGCATCACCAACAGAAAATTATAAACACGTGATGTTCATATGATGCCAATGTCACGGGATTTTGTTAGTTATCAAGTGAGCACACACAAAAATACCATCACCGCCTTCTCTTGCTTACCTTTTTTAAATTCTTATTCTTATCATCTTCCATCGATTGCTTGCTGCCAACATCTCTGTCGCTAGGTTTACGCCCACTGCCGCTACCCGAACCACTGCTTCCACCACCAACACCAACACCACCCAAATAACTCTCATTGATCTGATAGTCTTGTGTGGGCTGCAATAACATACGTTGATGTTGTTGCTTTTGCATATTACTTTTCGTATCCATAATAAGTTCAGTTGGGTCTTGTAGCTGTGAAGCGTTAAACAATAGGCGAATGAGAGTGTGTAAGTGTTTTGTAAGGGGCAGTTTGCTCCATTTTTGTTGTTTTTTGCGAAGGCGATGAATTGAGTGAGTGTAGATGAATTGAGTGGAACTAGATGAATTGTGTTAAAATAGCAGTTTTTGTAATGGAAAGTGGGCTATATGTATTTTGAGTGGAAGCTTAGCGAGCGAAATAAGTTGAGAGAGTAAATGGAGTTAAAATGTGGAAAAGGGACAGTAATGACTGATTTTGTAAGGGAAAAGTATGAGTTGAGTGATATTGCTTATGAAAGAGTGAGCTAAGATTAATTGAGTGAGTTTTGAGTAGTATCTTGAGTCAAAAATTGGGTGAATAATTTGGGAAGCAGGTCATAGTTTTTGGAGCAACAACTAGAGTAAGTTGAGTGAGTTTGGGTGATATGATTGAGTGACTTTTAATGTTAAAAATGTAGTAGGATAATTTTAAATGCTATTGAGATGGGGTGAATGAAAGACCTATGACGTTGGAGCTTAGGAAATAGACTGCATGTGATTGAATGTTTGGAGCGAACTGAAAGAGAGTGAGCTAAATAGATTTGAGCCAAAATTAAGTGAGAGTATGGGTAAAGTGTAATAAATCAAAAAATCTTTAAAAGATATAAATAAAAAAAATCATATAACCCGTTATACATTTTGGCCAGCTTTCGAACTGTGGGCGATAAAGATTTTGCTTTGGGAATTGAGTAACAATGAGTGAGCTGAAAAGTGTGTTGAATTAAATACTAAGGGTATTGAATAGTTCAGTGGAAATAGCTAATCGAGTATGTTAGTGATGACCAGGGTTGCCACTTTGGTAAATTATTATCGAAATTGGTAGAAAAAATTAGGGTTGGTATAAAACTAAAGATGTTTTCATTTTGGTAGATTTTTGTTAAAGTAATTTGTGTGAACTTCAAAACTTTTCGTTCTGGCTTAATTTTTCGTAGTTATCTTTCGCCCGAAAATTTTTCATCCGCCCATACATGGAAACGAAAAGTGAACGTGAACCGGTTAGGGAAAAATGAAACTGTGATAAGGCTGATTATAAAGTTCTTTCTAAAAGTATAGTCTACTTAGTTGCATTAATTTTGGAACGCTTTAATGCACACTTCATCGATAAAAGGCGAACAGATTGTGTTTTATTCCCCATTGAAAAAATCCCGCTGATTTATTTTTTTTTTGTCACCGGACTTTTGTGTTTTATTTCTTTTTTAATTTAACAATTGCCAAAAGTCCGATGCCGAATAAAAACTTAAGCAGGCTAAGCATTTTTTTTCGCCAGTGGCAACCCAGGTGATGACTTCCAAGTTGTATGACTTTGAGCTTAAATATTCCCTTACACTCCCAACGTCTCGTTCACGCTCTCCCTCTTTCTTCCTCTCTTTCTTACACACATTCACTGTATACCACAAATAAATACATACAACACTTTCTTTTTAATACATGAACTCTACTTACTTTCCGCACATCCTCGGCGCTATGCCAACGATTTCGTACCTCATAGTAACTTTCATTAGTCGATGATGAATCCGCCTCACTGCTGCGCGATTCATCGTACATAGCATCACTGAAATTCTCAGCCAATGTCTCTTCGCGTAGCTTTTTCACCAGTTCGCGTTGCTCACGTTCGCGACGTTCATTTCGCTGAGGGAATCAGAGAATTCAAAGAATTAGAATTTTCGCCAGCCGCACGCAAACGCGATGCGCCGTTAAGAGCAGAAGTGACGCACACACGCGCGCTGGTAGTACGCGGCGGGTGTTGGTTTTTTGATGTTTTTTTTTGGGGGGCAGGACGGGGCGTTTTACATTTATGCATTAGGGTGGCACACATACATATATTATTATATTTACAGTTATATTTGTTTACTATTGTACATTTACGGTTATATTTCTTAAATTATATTTGCATATATTGAAAAGCTGGCGTAGGAAAGAAAGGTTCAAGCTTAAGCTTGAGCGTGTGTGCGTTTTGTGTGGGCGTGGCTTAAGCCCAGGGGCGCGAAACCGCGGCGGCGGTTGGGTTGTTGGCGATACATTTATCGTAAAGATGTATGCGTACAAAACTTTGGCAGAAATAAATAATTTTCCACTTCGCTTTCAACGTGCGCTAAGGAGTAAAGCTAATGGTGGGCGGGGCGGACTAGTAATATTTATATAAAAAAATATTTTATTTATATATACATTTTCGAGTGCATAGAAAAAATTCGCATAAGTTTATTTATAAGCCATGCATTGTTTAAAAGTCTGAGTGGAAAATTATTTATGACACCAGAGATCTGTAATTTTTTAATTCGAAATATAAAACTTTTGAAGCTTGAAAAAGTTTCAAAAAAAAATTTTTAATTCCTTTTTGTTTTTCATTTACTCATGCTTGTAAATATTAAACCTTTTTGTTTTTTTTGTAATTTTTTTTTGTAAATTTTTTTTTGCAATTTCAAAACTCTACCTCTGAACTGAATCCCTCAACTAAAATGGCAACCAACAAGTTAAATAGCACATAATTGCCGAATGTCATCAGTGCCACAAAATATAATGCGGCCCAATGACTTGTCTTTTCCATGCCATTGAATAGAACGACATTCCAATCCTCCTGGGTTAAAATCTAGAAGCGAGCGAGGGAATGTGGAGAGAGAAAGTATAAAAAGGAAATTGAATTAGAAAGTGTAAGAGTAGCGTATTTTTTTTTTGCTATTTGAACAATACTAACAGACACGTCTAGGAAATGAAAAGTTAAATAAAGAGGTTTACGAAAAAAGCAAAATATCAAATAAAAATTTATGAAAATAAAACCTTTGCAAAAATTAAAAAAAATTAAAAATTTTACGATATACAATAACATATTTTATAATTAATTGTCTCAGAAGTACTAAATTAAATTAGATGCATTTTTGAAAGCGTTAAAAAGTTGGAAAAAAATAAAAAAAAACCTATTTAATTGTTAAAATTTTGCCTTTATAAAGATTTGGACAGCTATTTTCAGTTTCCTATGAAAATTAAAATGAAAAAAAAACTTTTGATTTAAAACTTTTTTGTGTGCCCTGTGTGTAGGTTTCCGGACTGTTGGAAATCACCTGATATTTTACGCAATTTCAGTCCAATAATGTATATTTTATTACAGAAAAGCCGTACCGAAATTTTGGTGTTTGATCAATACTTCGTATTTGGCTTTGGTTTTCGATGCAGTTTTTCTAGAAAAGTACCAAGATTACGTTATCTCAAAAATACTCTGGAATTTTTAAAGTATACCGGCAATTTCTTGTCAAGTTTTAATGTCAGTTAAATGAAGTATGTAAGTAAACTAAAACTTAAAGATTTTATTATTTTAATTTGGGAAAATAAGAATATTTTTTTTTTGTTTTCCAGTCATTTTTACAAACGCTATTAATATTATAGCGAAAGGTAGCGAAATTAAATTACCTGAAAAATATTTCGATTTTTTTTAATTATCCGAAATTTAAAAAAAAAAATAATTTTTTTCAGATTATAAAGCAATATATAATTCGGAATAAGAACAATATTTAGGGATTGTATTTAATCGGCGATAATTTATTATGGGTAAATTTTAATATTTTTGTAAAATCCAACAAATTTATTCTGAAACTTCCCTATAATTTTGTATCATTAAAAAATAGCTTCTTTATTCTTTAGTTCTCTGTTTTATATTAACATAAGCGCTTTTGTAAAATACCGAATTCTGGCTATCTTCAAAAATAATTCCAAAAATTTTCAAAACTAACTTGTTTTGAGCTTTCGTTAAATTCTGGCAAAGAATTGAGAAAATTTTCAACACTACTGGAAACACTTACAATTTCGGGATTTACATAAAAGAAAATATGCTTCAAAAAACCTGAAAATTAAAATAAAAATAGAATTTTAGACCTACGAATTTCGTTAGCAGTGTGAAAAACTGCATCGAAATCTTTAAAAGCAGTTCCAAAATTCCGATATCAGCAAAACGAAATCCCAAAAAAATTCAAAAATTTCGATACTATAGACCAGGTGAAATTTTTGTATTTTTTTTTCTCTTAATGTGTTAATTTTTTTGAAATACAGAAAATTTGTTCCGAAATTTCAGTACCATTCCAAAGTATTTACCTTAGCAAAATTTATTGGTTCGATTAAAGATGAAAATTGCATAATTTTTCATAAGTTTGAAAGTTAAAATATGTAAGGTTTATAGGTTTTATAAGGCTTTATAGATTTGTATTAATCTTTTACTCAAACAAATTTTAGTTTTTATTTTATTTATTTCTTGAAATTAAAAAAATATTAATTTTTACTCTTTTCTTATTCTATTAATGCTTGGAATCTATAAGTTGCATACTTTGCATACTTTAAAAAATAATATGTTACCATTTTCAAATTTTTATTTTTGTTATAATTTTTCCATGTTTTCTTAGTTTTTAAAAACCAAAAACTAATATTTGTTTATAATAGTTAAATTTTGTATTATTTTTTCTGAATATATTTCAAATTTTTGATTTTTTTTTTAGTTTTTGGTATATTCTTCTTCCAAAAATGAAGAGGTTTAAAGTAGTAGAAACATGTAATACTAGTTTTCTTCAAATTTTTAAGATTTTATTTTAATTCTTTCTAAGTTTTTTGTATTAGTATTTTTGGAATTTTTTCTTTTAATATCTAGCTCGTTAACAACTTTTAAGTTTGTATTGATTTTTTTCAACATTTTGCGAAAGCTTGTTAATTTATTTTGCTAATTTTCAGTATTTTTTTTAATATGAACATTCGGGTGTCCATGGATTTTTTTACTTTATTTAATATGAGACCCTAATTTTTCTCCTTTTTCTAAGAAATGTCATTGCCTCTTCTTATAGAATTTTTAAAAATCATTTAAGGTCAGAAAATACGGGTTTGGAGATTTATCAGGTATTATTATTTATAGGCCTTTAAAATGATATATAATAATCTATTGTCAGACTTGGATTGTTGAGAGTTTTCAACTGGTAAATAAAAAAAAAAAACATTTTTTCTTAATTTTTAAAATTTTGACCATCGCTAAGTTCCGCAATTTCAAAATTTTCAGTAAATTTATTTTCCAGAACATATTAGGTCATTGAATGAAAAATAGTCACTCAAAAACTGATAAATCTACAAAACCGTATTTTCTGACTTAAATGACAAGATTTTTAAAAAATCCATAAAAATAGGCAATAATAGGGTCTTAAAATTTCAACATTTTTCTTTCGATGCGCACCCCACTGTACATATTTATGTATATTTATTAAAATTTTTTTTAATATTATTTAATTTTTTTCTAAATTGTTTTGATTTATTGTAAATATGATGCGCATTAAAAAAAGCTAAATCATAGCTGTGCACAGGGGGTATGTGCTGCTTTTGAAAAATCTTCAGCAAAACATTAAAAAAGAACGAAAAACATAATACACATAAAAAAATAAAAATAATTTAAAATTGGAATATACAATATTGTGTATTTTTAGACAAAAAAAAAAGAAATAATAACAAAAAGACGTCACAATAAAGTGCCGAAAATACATAGCCAAAGAAATAGCAGATAAAAATTAAAATTTATGAAAAGCTGCGAAACCTTACTTTAATTTAAAATAAGCTCAAAAAAGCGCATAATGCCTAAAAGCGACGAATACGGATATAGAAGTTTATGTAAACATTACTTCGCTGTTGAAAACACTAACAATAAAAAAATGTAAATTATTAAAAGCATAAACTACGCTGCGAAAAAAAACAAAAGGGAGTCAAAAAGCAGTGTCAACTAATGTGTTAATGCTTTTTTCAGCTGGAAATGCAAAAATTCAAAATTCATTATAAGGATACTTAAAGGTTAAATCGTATAAGACATACTAATTTTTTTTTAATTTTAAACTATATCTTTGTAAAATTTTTTTATTGATAAAAAACGTGCCAATATATGCAAGTAGACAAGTATTTATTCGAAATTATGCTAATGAGAATTTGTATTTGAAAAAAATATTTGCCATCGAGTTTTGGCATTTTCTATAAGTATGGGTTGTAATTTGAAGTAAAATATTTTTGCTTAATGCTTTGATTAGGATAAGCAAGTATAAACTTGTTTCTCGGTGCAATTAAAATAAACTAATTTATTTTAGCGCGAACCACGTTTTAGGGCACAACGTAAAGCTCACAAGAACCGAAGAGTAGGTACAATTTTAAAATAATTGTTTGTTTTTTGTTTGTTTTCCATTCGATCATAAAAACATGCAAAAGTTTAGTAAATATCTTGCTGATGTTGAGTTTTTTACTAAGTAAGCAAAAACAAGCTTTCAAGCGAAGGCTTAACTGTAAAAAAAAAAATTGCAAAAGGCTTGCAACCTGTGTGTACGTGTGCCTCAGTTAAACTGGGGAGTGTCGAATGTGTATTGGTATTTGTGTAGGTCACAGTTCGGAAAATTTACTTTTCGAAACCGGTTAATATTTTTTATTATACAAAATTTTGTAGAGTTATTCCAAGAGACCTATTCTGAAGCTAAGGCATCAAAAATAGAAGAATGCGCTTTTTTCGAAAGCTTCGCACTTTCATGTGAGCTTTATGGCACTAATAATACACTGTTGTATGTTTTTCCATCTTAGAGTATAGTACATATGTATATAAATTTTGCTAAGTTTAATTAAACATTTGGTCCTACCTTAAAGCTTTCTGCAACTGAAAAAGAGCTTTTTCTCAGTAACATGAACAAGTTTTTGGATTGTGATTTGTTTTTCTTTACAAGTACCGAGTTCAACTGTGAGCATAACAGATATGGATAAAAATATTTGGAGAGTGATCTTAACTCGAAACTTTGAATTCTAAAACTTTTAACGGTAAATTTAAAGAAGTTTTTAATTTTTCAACAATGAAACGTTAAATGAAAGTAGTGACTTTTAAACTCTGATGTCTAAAGCACAAAATAGTGCTGGTACTGGTACGGTATAGGTTAATGGGTAACTGTAAGGTAAAGGTAACGATAACTAAAATAATTTTTCTACTCAGCTGATTTTGAGAAATTTTTAAGGGAATGCTATATGCGAAAGTGTGAATGTGGAATGGCGATGCTAAGCCTATTTAGTCATCAGTAAACATCAGGGACCGTAACAGTTACAACTTTTATTAAAAAAATCACTCTTTAACAATTATTTTTTGACTTTTATTTAATTACTCTTTAAATAACCGTTATTTCTGACTTTTATTTTATAAATCGAAAATAACAATTATTTTTGATTTTTATTTAAATAATCTGCAAATAACAGTTATTTTTGATTTTTAAATTATATGTCTTAAATAACAGTTACCGAAGACTTTAATTTATAAAAGTCATAAATAAAAATCAGTCACTGATCTTTATTTTTTCAATCATACTTATAAAAGTCATTTGAATAAGTCGTAGTAAACTTTTGTTTTCCAAGACCTTCTTAACTGCGAAAAATGTTAATGACTGTTATACGATTGATTTAAAAAATTAAAGACGGTCACTGATTTATATTAATGACTTTTAAAAGTAAAAGTCACTGACTGATTTTTATTGATGACTTTTATAAATAAAACTCTTCAATAACTGTTATCTAAGTCATATAATATAAAAATCAAAAATAAGTGTTGTTTTGGATTTATAATATAAAAATCAAAATTAATTGTTATTTTTTTAAATTTTGAATAAAAATTGCAAATAAAAATTTATTTTCAAATTTGAGTCTCGGTGCAAAACGAAATCGATTGGTATGCTTCACGTAGTTGTAGAACATTCCCTTCATAGTGAATTTTTCCATGACAGTTTTCATCAATAACATCAATGTTCGGTCCCTGGTAAACATATCTGGTTATGCATAGTAGTTGATGGTAATGGTTACTTTGAGGTTATAGATATACTCGAAAGCAGTTTGTATGATTTACGGCAGTGGTGGGCACCGGTTTATGGCATTGGCATGGGCTATGGCTAATGTTTTGTGGTTTATGATTACGGTTTACTGTTTATAGTTATAGGTCAATGGTTTATAGTTTATGCTTTATGGTTTCTGTTCTGTGGTTGATGCTTATAGCTTATGGTTTAGATTTACGGTTAATCGTTAAGGGTTTCGGGTGTTGGGTTTATGGTTTACATTTATCGCTTATGGCTTATGGGCTATGTCTTATAATTTATGGCTTACGGCTATTATGGCTATAATTATGACTGTATTTATGGTTTTTCGCTATGATTGCTCATGGTTATGGCTCAATATATGGTCATGATTATGGTGATGGTTATGGTTGAATTTATGGCTATGGTTATGGTTACGGTTATAGTTTTAGGTTTGGTCATGCTTATAGTTATGATCATGGTTATGGTTGGCGATGTTAATAGAGAGCAAATATAAAACCGCCTTCGCATTATATGTTTTGCTTTTTATCGAAACAGAATTTGTGAATGAAATCTTGTCTAAGTCAGAATTTTTAAATTGGCTACAACAACACTTAAAACTGAACACTTCTGATAATTGTGATTATTAATAGGAAACTTTTACACCGGTTAAGTAAAGTAAAAAACATAGTATTTGGTAACTATGTACTTATGAGCTAACGGTAAAAATGAAATGTTATTGATTATATGCATTAGAGTACTTATAATCGGTGGTGGGTGGAGCCCTTGCGGGGCCTACAGAGTCTATGAAATGCCTACAAATACCTAATATAGTAACTTTATTAGCAGAAAGAAGAGAATTTATTAGTGTAGTTGTTTTGAAATTTTGAATTTTAGTTTTTCAAAAAAAGTCATTCTGTTATAAATAATTGTGAAAGCTTTCTTGTGACGCCTTTACGAAAAAAATATTAAAACGTGTGCGTTTAAAAATTTTGCACTTTAAGTGAGCACTATTGCTACGTGTAAACAGGGGTGAAGGATACAAAATTGAAACGAAAAATGTTTACTAAAATTTATTTTTAAATTTTAATTTTACTTCATTAAATTGTTTATCGAATAATTGTTTGTTTTCAATTTACAATTAAAAAAAGTTTTTAAAAACAATATAAAATAATAACAACTGAGAAAATACTGACAATTGAAAATACAATTTTCAAGTGTTTTTATACTTAATTAGACAGTTTTTGTTGAAAATTTTGGAAAAAATAATAATGGAAAAATTAAATAAAAATAAAACAACTCAGTAAAAGCACTATTTAATGTAAAAAGAAATTTTGCTAAAATTACTTTTTATTTTTTATTTTAGCTTGTGAAATTTACTTATTAATTTTATAGAGTTTGGAGCTTAAAATAATGAAAAAAATAGTTCTTTTAGAGCGAATTCAAAAAAAGAAAATTTCAAATTCAAATTGAAAACCTGTTTTACATATAATTTAAAACTCGAAATATTAGCGTCGAATGTACCAAAACATATCATGAAAAAAAAAATATAAATAAATATATATTTTTTTTTAATAATTGTCGCTTAAAAAGTTGTTTAGAATGTTTTTGATTAATTTTTCCCCCCTTTTTTTCCATGAATTTGCTGTATGCGACAAAACTTGTATTTATTTCCTAAATTTTACCATTAAACATTTTTAATTTAAAATTTTTTCTGCTTCAAATGATTTGAAAGTTAATCCTATTTTTAATCAATTCTTCCTATTTTATTAATAAAAAGGGTCTTTGCTAAAAAATTTTAAAGCCTCAAAATATTCACATATATAAATAGCGAGAAAATCGCCTAGTCGACATGAAATATTTTATAATCCTTTTAAGAAAACTTAAAAAACCTTCAAATTATAAAACTTAATACCAATTGAAAAATAAATAAAAAATATTCGTTATAATTTAAACTAATTTTTCCTACTTAAAATAATTTTAAGAAAATTGAATAAAAAAGTGTTTTTGCTTTTTTTGAATATTTTTTATTTAAAATTTAATAAAAATTTTCTTCATAAATTTATTGGAATTTTGAAATTCAAGAAATTTTACCAACCCGGAAATATCACACTTTTATTAAAGAATATTTTTTTCTTTTTGACACTAAAGATGGCACAACAAAAATTGAGACAACGAAAAATGCGACTGAAGATGGCGCAACGCCGAAACCGGTTTCTTCCCAAATAAAAATTCACAAGGGGCAACGGAAATTCGTTTCAAAATATAAAATAATTTCTACTCCTTTAAGATAGAACCTGGAACTTGCAAAATTATGAAAATTTAAATTCGTTTGATATCTGAAATTTTATAAGAATTTGAAATGTTATAATTAGCTGTGGTTTCTTGGCCAATGACTTGGATCCGGATAAAAAATTTGCACGCAAATGCAAAAACAACGATGTAATCCTGATAGAGATCCGGTTTAATTTATAATCGGTTCTTCGTTTTGTTTCACTGATAATTTGGCAACACGGTTTGGTAGCACTGGAAAATGATTGTACATATGAGCAAATCTCACGAGTTACATTTTTTGACAAAAACGTGTATTCGGTTGAAAGTGGTGGTACACTTATCTGAGACAATGCATTATCTTTAGTTTTGCATTAAGAACAAGATTCCATCGCGAAGTTGTTTTTAAATGAAAACTTAAAAAAGACATGCATACTATAAAAGTAAAAATAACCACTCGTGCTTATATACCCGTGGTTGTGTATGTAACGTATACGCCCTATAGCACCATACAGTCAGCTAAAACGTTTACTCGCACGCCTTAACTTAAAAGCCAATATAATTTAAGAGTAATTAAATATTGGCGTGGAAGATTTTTACACAGTATTCCTTATGCACATTTATATTACTTTTTTCATGTTTATAACAGATTTAGAATATTTTCCGAGTGTGTCAATTAAAGTTGTATAAATGGAATTTTAGTTCCTGAAAAATTTTACTCCAAATAGTTTCTTTTAATTTGGTGGCACACTCTTGAAACTTCGCACATATGTTGTATTTGATGCCAACGTCAATTGCCTCTAATATGAACATTCTATTTGAAAACTTCCTACAGTTATTAAAAAAAAAAACAATTATGATTTTTTCGAGTGAAAATGAAAAAATTAGTACCTTTGGTACTTTTTAGTCTAAATAAACATTTTAAGACTAAAATTAATCAAACAATTGATGTATTTCTTATTATACTTGTTTCTGGAACTCTATTGATTGAAATATATGCTAGAAGAATTCTTTCACGCTTTTTTTCTGGCGAGAGAAGGAAGTTACACTAAAAAAAATAACTCATGAGATTTGCTCATACATATACACAGGCAGATGTCTCACCATTTGAAATATATCGTCTTTATGTTAAATATTTATATAAATTAACGTTATTTTGTTAAACTGTTTTTTCCCCCTTTTAGTGAGTCAATTTTTATAATTTCATCTTCTTGGTGCTCAGAAATAAAAATTAATAAAAAACTAAATTTAATCAAATCGGAAAAATACACAATTTTTTTCAAACTACTTTTTCCCACGTAAAACATCAAAAAAAAGTGAATTAAAAATTTTTTTTTTAAATACTCATAAACTTTTTTTTTTAATTTTAAATTTGTTGCCGCTTAAAATAATATAAAACAAAATTTGATTGAAAAAAGACAAAAAAATAGGAATTTATGTTTTACTATTTTTTTATGTAAAAACATATTTCAAAAATATTTTTTATTCAAGCAGATTGTATAAGCGAAATAAAAAAATTGTTGTCTGATTTTTACCAAAATTACTTCTTCCTCGTACTAAGAATGATCCCTTTCGTTTCAGTGAGAAATACAAATTAATAAAATTGAATCAAATCGGAAAAACAAAATACAATTTTTTCCTCAAATGAAGCATTAACAGAAGTGCATTAAAAAGAACTAAAAAAAAAATTTTAAATACTCATATATATATATTTTTTTAATTTTTTTGTACATTGTCCCAAATTTGTTTGCCGCTTAAAATAATAGAATTTGATAGAAAAAAATTAAAAAAAATGTGAATTCATGTTGTACTAATTTTTTGTGCAAACACATATTTCAAAATATATATTTTTTTAAAGAAATCTATTTTGGAGAAATGAAATTCTTGTCCGATATTTATCATACACTTTTTTAGGGAAAGAACTATTAATTAAATCACTTTCGTAAAAATATCCAAACTCTATAAAAATTTGAGTAGAATAAACCAAAGTTACACTACTTTGTGAAACATATGACAATGCTATTGAATTATATAAATATATTTTTAAGTACTTAGAAAGTTTTCTTTTTGCTCATTTCAAAAAAAAAGAAGTATGTAATTAAGTATTTTAGAGGATAGTTTGTTTACTTAAGTATTTAGTAAGTTGGAAATTTTGGTGTGTTGTTCTTACTTGAAAGACTGTAACAGTGGCCCATAAAATGTTGTTGAAGTGTTTGCGATCACATTCACATTGTGGATGTTTGCTGATTATTTCGGGACACCTACATTCACGTTCGATTCCGGTATCCTCCACAAATTTACAAAACTTACCGCCAAATAGATACATGCCCAATATGCTGTAGGTTCACACACGAGTATATGCATATATATATTTATATGTATATATATATATATATATATATATATAGTTTTTTGAAGGTTGTATAAGTATATATGTAGTTTATGTTTATATTTATACGAGTAAGAGTATAAAAGTAGTTGTAAGAGTAAGTAGATTTAAAAATAATCATAGCTATTGATATATAATGTATGTGTGTATTACGTATTTATATAAAAAAAAATATATATTTTTTTTGTTGTTTTGTATACATATTTTCGCTATATATATATATATATTAAAAAAAGGTCTGTATTTTTGTTGTAAACGCGTGGGTTGTGTAGGCTATAGTCTGCAAAATTAATAAAAAGTTTGGCATGGGAGAGGGGGCGGTTGGGACTTTTTCATATATATATACAGTTTTGGAATGGTTTCTTTAGGAAATATTGGGAAAAAAATGTCTCTTCTCTATTTTGGCCGTGCGAATTTTTTTGACCTCCACTGTATATAATCTGCAGGTCTGTGAGTATGCCTGGTGTTTGTGTGAGCTGTGAGTGTTTTTTGTTTTTCTTTCTTTTTGTGAGTTTTGTATGCTTGTCTCAAATATTTTTGTGATTGCGTAATTTTCATACAATTATATATTAATTTACAGCTATTTGGCGTATTTTGTACATGAATAAACGCTTTTCGAAACATTAATAAAATTAAGCGAAAAATTTTGTTTCTATGATTCGAGAGATTTTTCCTATTTTTCTTGCGATTTATTTACAAAAAAACTATAGCCCTATTTGCGTCTAATTTACAAATGTAAGAATGAATTAGTTTTAGGTGACCTGAATTTTCTACAATAAAAATAAAAAGAAGAAACCAAAATTTAGCAGAGAGCAATAAAAAATTTTTAAGCTGATGTGTTTTTAATGGTTTTTTTCCAACCTGTCTATTTTTTTAGTGAAATTTGTCTAAGCCGGTCAATAGCGGGTTAAAGAAATTGAGCGAGAGCAAAGTTAACGCAAGAGAGCGACAAAGGGTGTGATAGGGAGTAGCTGTGTGTGAAGAGAGTTAGCGAGAGGGTTTGCAACTCTTATAGAGTGGTTGGTGTAGGTAAGAAAACGAGAATGGTGAGGGAAACAAAAGGAGTAATTAAGTGTTGAGTAGCATTGTTACTTGTAAGAGAGCGCAAAAGTGGTGCGGTGTTAGTTATTGTAAAGATATTACGTAGGCGTTAAAGTACATTGTGTAATAAGTTTCAATTGGACAGCTTATAATGACATTAGACTAACAGAGAGAAAGAGAGAGAGAGATAGACTTTAATGTGACACAACAATGAGAGGCAAAATAACAAAAACTAAAACCATTAGAAAATAAACATATGTGTTATTTAGTAGAGCTCATTTAATTTCATTTGGATTTAAACAGCAAAGTTTTAAGTACAGCGGCATGTTGAATATGAGTGAGCGTGAGAGAGAGCGTGCAATGAGTAAAAAAATTTATGTATTCTGAGCACAATGCGCGAGCGAGCAAAGCCAAGCAATTGTATATATTTTTTCAGATATTCTCATACATGCAATTTCTTAAAAAAAAAGTCAAGCAAACGTGCGAGTGCGCTGGGTGCAAAGCTAAGTGAGGTGACGCAAATGATTGAGTGCAGTGGCAGTGATTCTTCAGTGGCACGCGTTGATTGGTTGACAAGTTGAGTATTTTCCGCTGACTGATTTAGGTGTGGGAGTGTAGTCCTGAGGAATTGGGTAAAGGTGGTACTGAGACTCAGGTTTCTCAGTTGTTATTTTGAGTGCGATCTTTTCAAAGCTTAAATTTTTTTTTGTGATCTGAGTGCTTTTAAATGGATCATGGGTAAGTGAAAGCACAACTTGAGAGATCATGATACGCCCAGCTTTGTGCTTTTGCGCCAAAGGTTATAATTTTAATTGGACTGAGCAAAAAATTTCACTCTGAAACTTAATTGATTAATCTGTCGATTTAATCAAGAGTAAATTAATTAAAGATGTTTTTACCGATGAAGCTAAAACTTTTAAAATGATTTAAGTCGGCCCTGCTTTGAGTAAAGTTGTGGTTTTGTTGATCAAAATGCTAAAAAATTTAACCGTCAAATACACTTAACCAAACTGAGCTGAAAGCGCTTAGGTAGAGGGAATTTTCCTATTTTGTTCAGTGAAATTCTGATAAAATGAGAGAAATTATTTTATTAAACAGGTAACTGTTAAGTTGTTAAAAAATGCATTGCATTTGAGCGAGAGCAAAAAATAACACTCAGCAATAAAAAGATGAGTTGAGTGAAATTCACTTTGATTGCGATCAGTTTTTGTTGAGTGAAATATTCATAATTGTTGTAGTATTTTAGTTATAGCTGAGTCAGGTGTAATTCTTATAGGAATAGAAAGAATTTACGCACAAAAAGCTGACTGAACAGCAATGTAGTATAAAAAATAAGATGATTCTGGTGAAATTCTCTTTGAGTGAGATATTTTTTTTTTGGAGAAGCGCTCATATTTACTTTTATTTAAATAAGGCGCAGTAATTTGCACTCAAACTGTTGATTTGCTATTGGTGTAAGTTGTATTGAGTTGAGTGAGATCTGGGTGAACATTTTTTGGAGTCAGTATGTTCTAGTTGAATCAAATAGCCAAAAATTGAGTGAAAAATGGCACTTGTAGTATACATTTACTGGCTGTTTTGAGTTAAACTGAGATATGACTAAGTGCGTGAGTGACAAATGCGCCAATGATTATGTAAGCAAGCAAGTGTTTCAAATATTTACAAAAGCGCATTCAAGCATGCACAAAAAATCGTACAAGTTGATAGGTATTCCAAAACAAAGAGAGTTACTCAAAAAATGCGAAATGCTTAAAGGCTTACCTGTTGTTGACTGTAGTTTAGAATTGTTAAATTCAACTGCTTTCTTCGCCCTTTTCTGCTTAAAAACTAACGAAACATATGTATGTGGTATATCCTAAAGCATTCTTTCGCTAACCAGCTAAGTCATGCGGGACATAGTATGTACTCTATATAGAGACTTATTGGTGTAGCTATATACATACATATAAACATATTCGAACTTTATCAGCTAACAATTTCCTAAGATTCTCAGAAGGTGTACTTTCTAAATGATTTTCACTACTTTCTTGAAGTTATTTTTCCAGCAATGCTTTGTCTACATACTTCATACATACTATGCGCACATACACGGGGTTGCGTACTAAAGTATTAAATGCTATGTTTTTGTTTTCTGGATATAATCTGCATGTTTACTTTTCTTAAAATATTTTCAACACTAATCGGGAAAAAATTATTCTAAATAAAATCCTGATTAAATAAAAGCGAAGCAAAAGCAAAATTAAGGTACGCAAATTATTTAAAAAAAATCAGCAAAAAAATAAATCATGAAAAAATAAAACGAAAACTACAAATATTTAACAAAATTAAAAATTATGAAAAAATACAAAAAGATATTCAGCCAATGATGTATGGAAAAATATGTTTACTAGCAGGAAATAATTATGTTTGAAAATTTTTTACAAAATTCTATATACAGTTTTTTTGTTAACAAAAATTGTAGAAAGGGTTTGCCGAATAACGTGAGAAATTCAGAAAAAAACACATAAATAATTACAAATAAATTTGAAAATATTTCCAAAAAGGCAAAAAATATATTAAAAATTAAATTTTAAATAAAATTCACAGCCCCCATATATAATCGCTAGAAATTAACATACAAATTTAAACATTTTTTATCTTTCCACATTTTGGCACAACACAAAATAACACAGCAATTTAAATTAAATTTTTTTTCTAGCAAATAACATTTTATATAAAACACGATTTTTTTCGTACTAAAATTTATAGGTATTCGAAAGAATCCATAAAAATATTTGTATTAGCTAGTTAAAAATCAAAATATGTTAGTAGCAGTAATAGTAGTAGATAATAGTAGTAGTTAGTTGTATAGGATTAGTTATAATGCTATTTTTTGCTTTTAGCAATTCTACCTGAAAAACAGTGACGAGCGCCCACAGCAGGCTGTCGAAATTCTTACGATCGCATACCCTTTCATCGTTAATGGTCTCGCAGAATTGACATCCGAATAGATTCATGCCGAGTATACTAAATTGATTGATTGATGTTCGATCGGTTTGATTGATTTCATATATATGCATATATATATATTTAAATTGATAAGTAGATTTGGGGGCGAGTTCAGAGATATATATTTAAGTTTATTTATATATAGTATATAAAGTATAGATATATTATGTATGACATATATAAATAAATAATTGATAGTTTATTTTTAATTGATTTGTTTTTGAATTTTTAAAGGTTTTTTGTTTAGAAATATATATTTTATATAAATATACGTCAACAAAGATCGCATTAGAAGTAATGAAAGAGCGCATATGTTAGTGTATAAAAAAGAGAGTAAGAGAAATAGAAAGAAAGAGAGAGAGAGAGAGAAACGGAGAGTAAGAGCAGGAGAGTTTAAAAACAATGCATATAGCGCTGAGTGAGAGAAGAGCACAACATAGACAGAGCATAGCGGCAAAATAGGGAAATCAGAGCGATATAAGTGAGACATGTTATGCAAGAGTGAGAGAGAGAGAGTTAAAACGAAAAGAAAGGGAAGTAAAATACGCTGGTAGGGAAAGTAAGAGGGTGTCAGGGAAGGAGGAAAACCGAGACCTAAATTGATTGGCTATGTAAGAGACTGAGAGATAGGAAGAGGAAGAGAGATATGTATGCAGAGTGGCTTAAAAATAGGGAAAGCTGAATAAAAAACAAGAGGGGGTGGGTAGGCGCATAACTTCAAAACTAGAAAAGAATTTCTTCCAAGGTTTAAGGGGTGGTAAGTGTTGACTCTAGAAGAGATCGAAAGTTAGTTCGAAATAAGTCGAAATTCACCTTCAGAATTGTATCAAAATAAGTGAAGTGCACTTAAGTGGAACGCAATTAAGGGAAATCTATCATAATGAAGATGTATTATAAACAAAATTTTAGAGCTTCACT